TTTTACTACAAAGTGCCTTTTGATGCCACTGGTACAATGAAAAATACTTTTAAAAATTTTGGTTCAAATAAAGATTCATATTTAAAAACTATTATTGGTAAATTACCAAATTTGGTGAATGGAAATATTGATGTATTCACGCCTTCAACTTATTGGCTTGCAGCACCTATTTATATGCCCATCGAATTAGATAAATTTGGTAGTGTAGATGTTATGAACTTTGCACAACCTACCCTTAATGCAGCTGTGGCAAGCACCATCCTCAATCATTATGGCTTTACCTATTGTAACCACGTAGATCAAAATCTCTGTGGTAAATGTTGCTCGGCAGAAGGAGTTTATACTGCTTGCACAGTTATTGGTCGATGGGACTGTAGTCGGTTAATACATAACAACAATTGTGTATTCGGGGGTATTAATTATAAACCTAATGTCATGGATAATATTAGGAAATTTGTTGATACTGCTGATTACTGGAATTATGATTACTGTCAAAATAATGTAAACGGTTGGAGTATAAATGCAAAAGATTGTTCAGACGAATCGACTGTCCGATGTTCTTCATATCCAGATGGTTGCAGCTCTGAAAGTTGTGCTTCATATATGCCAGGAGGTTATGCGTGCGCATGTGCAAATGCACATGGCTAATTGATATCTCATGAAATGTTATCAATATGAAATTTATTTAATCAAACAAATTTTTTTTAAATATTAATTTAATTAATCAATCAAAATTCATGTGTTGTGTTTTAAGCAGAATAGATATACAAAATGCAATATAATTTGTATATTTCATATATTTGTTACTAATTTTATTTAAATAATATAGATATATATATATCTTTCTCTCGATAATAAAATATTTTTTGATATTACTTATTTAAATGATTTAATTAATTCATATTTTTATTTTTATTTTTATTTATTTTATTTTATTTTATTTTTTTTATAAATATTATTGAATTATTTCTATATTTTAAATTTAAAAAATAATTAACCCGGAAGAATAAACTTACTATTAAAATGAATCTAAAAAAAAACCTGAAATTAGGGATGTTAACGACGTTTAAAACTTAACATGTTTTGGCTTAGCCAAATACGATAATTTTAAGCTTATTCTAATATGACATTTTAAAATTTATAAAATTATGTGGCGCAGCATTATCACGGACTTTTTTTATTAATAATAAAATTCATAAAGCTTTTAATTTATAAAAAGTTGTATTTTAATAAAATATGTTAAGTATAAAAGAAGCTACAACCACTGCTTAGCCATAAGTAATGAAATAAAATGTCAAATATGTTGATTAGTAGATATAACAAACAACTTCAATGAAATGCATTCTAATTTCGGGGAAACTATAAATATTTATTTTTTTTTATTTTATAAGAATAACCTTAAACTTTTACGAATCTAGTACATACCTAAATTAAATAAATTACTTCATTTCTGAAATTAATAAAGAACTATAATTAATTTCTTTTTATTTTTTTTTTTT